AGGGAAAGCCACAGAGCGATGGACTGCCTTGGTTGCAGTGGATAGCTCTGAATCTCACTCCTTGACCATCACGTCAGTGATGGCAGCACTTTGTCATCTGAAACATAATACTCAGGATATAAGAATGCAGCCTTGCTGAACCAGTGTGGGAGACCTGGCAGCAGCACTGTGCTCTGTGGCCTGAGATCTCATCCAGGAAACTCCCTCTGCTCCCACAGGCACATCAATGCAATGCACATGACAACCAGAAATGTCTAGATGCTGAATTATTTCCTTCTGACTGACCTTGTTTCTTAATCCACTTGTTAGTTCTGTCTGGTCACTTGGTGCATCTTAGTCCAGCTCAGTCCTTGTTGAGTTTAATACAAATATGAATAATATGTATTACAAATTAGACAACTTCTGCCACTCTTCTAACACCATTTTGATTTGTGTAGGCAGGTTTTGCTTGTAAGTCATATGCTTATTAGAGAAACCTGACAAGAAGTTAGTAAGGAAAGCAAAAGAAGCAGGAATTGAAGTAAATAGAAAGAGAGAAGGATATGCAACACACAGGATGTAGATATTGTTAATTTGTTTGTTACCCACTTGCTCTAAAAGCTGTTGCTATCCTTATTCCAGTGATGGAGAACAGCCTTTACCAAGAATGTGAGCATATTATGGATGGGACCCAAAACATACCTCTCTTACATAGCACAGGGAAGGCTGGCCTGAATTGATTCAGATTTGAACATTTATTACCTTTGGGGCTTGGTGTTTCTTTCACAAGCTTTCGTGCAGCCTGAGTTTCCAAGATGTTTTGACATGGGAAATGTCAGCTTTGTCTTACAGTTATCAAGTGCCAGGTGAAGATGTTATTTGCAGCCTTTCCATTGTGACAGGAATTGTGCTTGTGTGATCAGCTGGGTGTAGGCTGATTCCATTGAAAATTAATAATTATTGTGAGAAGGTAAGATTCGAGTTGGATCAGCTCTCTGAACTGGTTACTTCATAGCTATTTGGGCTGTTAGGGAAAAGAACAAGGGAAGGGTGATTTTGGCAAGATCATGGTCATAGATCTGACCATAGATTGATCTCATCATTAAACAACCTCATATTATGTCCTTCCAAGAAAAAATATTTGTAGATTCATGAACAAATGACAAAAGAAACTTCTCAGCATGATTTCTGTGAGCACCTCATTGATGCTCACAGCAACTGTGCTGAGACCTTTCTTTTACACATCAAGTCTACACAGCTCTGTATCTGACCCTTGCCAATGGAACTGGCCACAAGCCTTTCATGCTGAGGATTTTTAATCCTCTTCCATTGCTCTCAACAGTCTGTGTTTTGGGGTTTTTTTAAACTTAAAAAAACACCAAGACAACACTAGGTCTGAGTCAGATTATTTCAGTGACAATGAAAAATCTTCAAATCTACATTGAAGATATTCATTTGAGAGAGGAAGCTACTCTCTGGTATTTTCACTCAGAGAGGCAATAAAGTGCCAGTGTCACTGATGGGTTGTTCCTGTTTTTAAGGGTTGCCAGAGGAAGCATTTGAGCATCTGGAGAACCTGAATTACCTGTACCTGGCAAACAATAAGGTAAGAGGCTCACAAGGCTTTCAGAGCTCTTTTCTAATAGTCTTCTGAAAGTTAAACAAGCAAGTCTTCAATTCTTTTAAAATAGATATCCTGCATAAAATTGTGCTAAAGTGATAATCCAATGCAGGTTCATTGAAGGTTTAGAAAATTAATGCACTAAACAATCAGAGCATTCATATTTTGAACACTTAGGTATTTATGCAGCTGGTGAAAGGTTTCTCTTGTGTGTGTAGGGAGGTACAGAGGGCCCCTGCTTTTATGAATTACCACTGTCTTTGGTTCAGCTGCATGCAGATTTGGCAGCTTGCCTGTATGCAAAGAAACTGTGGGGTAAGGATGTGAAAAGCTGCACATCTCATCAGATGAGGTTGGTTGAAAACTTTGTGAACAAATGCATCCTAAAGCTTGTGTTTGGGCCATCAAGATCTGTAAGAAGCTGCCCAGTTTTCCCTGCCTCCCATCCTCACTAGGTTTGTTGTGGGGGGATATGTGAGCAAGCAACTAGTTTATTCTTTTAGCTGCAGTGGTAGGAGCTGAATTGCTTTTTTAATGCAGAAGATCCTAGGTGCTTTCACATTAATGACCCAAATTGGATGTCGTAACAGAAGCACGTCTTTCCTGCCAAGGCTAGGAAATTAAATAACTTCTCACACACTCTTAAATCTGGGTGGTTTCCATAATGGCTTTCTTCTTCCCCTGTGATTGTCCACAAATATTTGCTATAGACAGAACTAGGATGCCACAGAAAAATGTTAAAACATCAGGCAGAGCTTCTTGTGTCTACAAAACCCCTGCCCTTCCATCCCTCTCTCTCTATATATATATAATTTTTATATGCATGTCTGCATATATAATTTATTATCCTCTTAGAATCTGTGACCTTTTGATGTTTTGTCTATATACATGTAGCCACATCGAGGTTTCAGTCAGGCCAAGACATCCAGAGTCACTCCATAGATGAGTGATTGAGAGTAGAATACATTCCTTGGTACAGTAACATTGTGTTCTTTTCTCCCTTTCAAGCACCATTTCCATATAACAGTCTTGGCAGTTAATAACTCCATAAAAAGGAACAAGCCAGACTGTGACTAATATTCCAGAACTTTGCACTCCAACTTTCCCTGTGTGACAAAACAAAGTGTTTGGTTTTTCTGGCTTTACTGCAAAGAGAAAAGGGTCCCAAAAGAAAATGCAAACATCAGCTAATGTCAGAACTAGTTACAGTGAGAAGTTGTGGACCCACAAAAATAACCCATTTCTTTAAAAATCACAAACAAGGACAAACCAGATTGGCTTCAAACTGCATCCACTCTGCAGCAGGAAACACTGCAGATCAAGTAATGGTGGTGTCTGGAGGAGAGCAGGGATTTGCTGGTAGTTTGCTCCTTGTTTTATGGATTATCTTAATGCTGCTTTATCTTCAAGTGTGATCCCATCAGATGTAGCTAAACCATCTTTTGTTAAACTGGTATAGTTGGCTGGAAAAAAGAAATACCATAGTAAGCTAAGAGCCTCATGTGGCCTATGAGTAGCAAGTACTTTAAGTAAAGAATTCATGCTGTAATTTCCTTTTCAATTTTTCACTCCACTCTCATGATTTGTATATATCATGTAGTATCCACAGTGAGCCTTGTTAGTAACTGAAATCTCTTCCACCAAACTGTGGACCAGGTCCTGGGTTGTCACTTTTATTTACTGTAAGCTGTTGATTTTGATCTTAACATTTCTTAATATCTGCAAAGTGATAAAGGTTTCACCTGGACCCAGTACTTCTGCTTACAGCAAAGCTTGTTATAAGTAAGAAAACTTGTTCCAAAACTGGTAATAACTTTGGTATAATCCTTCTGAGTTCACTGGTTAACTCATTAGTTAATAGTGGAGAAATACTCTCTGCCATATGGAAAGTAGGATCCATCAGTAAAGCTGCAGGAAGACTGCAGCTGGAGAAATGCAGGTTGCTACTTAGCAGGCAATATAACTAGACAAAGCAACTCAGCCAGCTTTATTTTTGCCAACAGTTCCAAGATCCAGCATTAATCCCCAAGCAGTTAACCGACAGAGATCAATTAGCCTCATGACTCAAGTGCTGAAATGCCAAAGCAAAGTCCTCAGCAAGTGAAAACTCCTTTTGGATGAAACTTCTCTTTCCTCTTTATTGTGGCTTGATGGCTTTCATTTCACATATCTGAGCCATGCCCTCTGCTTTGTATAAAAGTTATGACCTAATAGACCATGTTTCAGGAGAAAAGCTTTAATGTGCCACCGAGTATGAAAGTGATTTAAGTCCATTTCCTGTGTCTGGATTTGAAGTTTTATTTTACGATAGAGACTTATTTCTTTCTCAGGCACTGTCAGACCTTCTTAGTCAGAGATGAGTGCCTTTATCCACTTCCCTGAAAGCATCTCCCAGGTCAGCAGGTGAAAATGAGAAACAGTAAATCATGTAGTTGCATCTTTTCAAAAGTAGGACTGTATTATGAGTCCAGTAAATTGCAAGTTCATGCATATAGTCTATCAATGCACAGTTGACAAACTAGTAGAGAGAGATCTGGGCACCCTTAGCTAAAAACATAGTTTAAGGCTTGGGTTAGGCAGTTACCTAGTAAAGTGTCTGCTTTCTCGCATACTTTTCATCTTTTTTTTCTTTTTTTTTTTTTAACATTCTTTCCAATAACCAATTGCAGTTTTATTGTAATAAAAATTTGAAAATGTGTTTTCACATCATGTGGGTCTTGCTGTGCCTAGCTGGCTGTAGAGACTAGCTCATCTTTCACACAAAACTACTGTGAGGAAGAAGCTTTGCTGATCCAAAGAATTTCAAGGCAGATCTCTTCCGTTGTCTAGAGTTTCTCATGCAGATTTCAAAACTTTAGATGACAAAGACTTGAGTATCTGCCTAGTAAAGATGTTCTTACCAGAGCCTTTCAGAATGTGCATAAAATATTGTGAGAGTGGTGTTGTCAGTCCTGTCTAACATCTGTACCCATGGTGATTGCACCTGCCTGCTGCAGCTCGGTAGTCTTCTCCACATGAACTCAAAGATCACATCTGCTACAGCACCGTGTTAAGAATTTGTTATCCAAGGGTTAATATTGATGCATAAAACTCCTGGGTTCATGTTTTCCAGAAAACTGTCCTCCAGCCCGTATTGTGACCTATAGTCTTGGTTTCTCGGTGAATGACCTGGCTGTTAGCAGCCAGTCAGTGGACATAGCTATTGTATTATCTGGATGCTCTGTAAAACTGAGCTTTTTAATCATTAGTTTTCACTGTGCCTAGCAGTATTTTTTCAAACCACTGATAAAAATAGCAATAGGCCAAGAGCAAGCACCTCTTGTCAACTAAAAATTCTGGAGACAGGACCTTTCTGTGCTTTGTTTCTGATACATCCCTTGTTTAATGAACAAGGTATCACTGTACAGTAGCTTTTTCCTTTTAAGTCCCATTTGATATTCCATCATTTGATTCAGAGGCATCTAGAATCTGGATCCCCTGTTGAAAAGATCATCACAAATGGATGCAATATTGGAACAGACATAAAAAGTGACACTTCCCCCCCAATGTACTTCCATATGGGAATAAGTAGTAGGCAACTGTGAGGTGGGTTGGGTATTTTTTGGCACAGCAGACTGAGGAATTAGGAACAATAATAAGCAATGTGTTTGCTCTCTGAATAACAATTTATTTATTTTTTCCATCAAAAAGAGACAGGACTCTTCCAACCAAAACAAACATTCCCGTATCTTGGAGCTAAAGTCTGTCTCCTTCCTGGAGAGATTAGTGAGTGAGGACAGTTTGTTTTTGTGCATTCAATCTGTGTTGAGTTTCATTTATTTTTGCCTGATAAGAGAAAAAAATTTACAAGTGTTGTGTTGCTGGTCTAATACTTGGTTAAAACTTTTGTTGCCTTTAATTACAATTCCTGTGTGTATTTCTTTCACAGCTAACAGTGGCTCCAAAGTTCCTACCTAATACCTTGATCAGTGCAGATTTTGCAGCCAATTATCTCACCAAGATATATGGGCTCACATTTGGACAGAAACCAAACTTGAGGTAAGGGATTGGGACGTAAAACAATAATAGGGTTCTGCCACTGCTTGGAGGCAGTTGGTTAGCGATAAGAAGCTATCTTGACTACACCATGTTACTGCCTACCTAGGTATTTTGGAAAGAAGCTGATTGTTTGTTATTCTCAGCATGAAAAATAAAATAATCTCTCAGACAAAGACATTCCAAAGGCTTTTAGCAGCTGCCAGACACTTTTGCATAGATAAAAATTAAATTGTGTCTCCATTTTATTTGTGTATCAGTCATGAGTTGAAAGGAACAGCTTTTGTTTCTCAACATGGAGATTTAACTGTTTAGAAATCCCTAGTTTTATTATAATCCATTCATTTGAAAAAATAGAATTAGCTTGAGAGTAGAGCACTGTCTGCATCTGAGTTTAACTCAGCTGTATTAAAGCTAAGGACTTTAGCACCTTCAGAAGAGGTTCATACCTCAGGTCAGGTTTCAAAGTTCTCTGCTAGTTTCAAGTGTGATTTTCTCAGCTGGATCCAGTGCAGCACATTGGCCCATCTCAAATTCAGATGCACATAAAACACCTCCTGTGAGATGTGGTCTTTACCAAAGGCACTTTGAGTGATCTGGATGGACACTGCAGCATCTAAATCCTGCAAACCCCTGCAATCCAGCTCAAACTCTGTTGGTGGCAATTAACACATCCAGGCTTGGAAGCTGTTAACAGTCTGAGCCAGTTGAGGTCCTGGAGCCCAGGGTTGTGATGAACTGAAGAACTCTCTGCTCCTACTAAATTCGTTGAGATCTGAAGCTACTCTGTTCTTTCTAGGCTGTGAGTCTCCTAGGTGAAAAGGCTGAGTCACTCACTGATTTCTGGCAATACCTCATGAAAGAAGCTAGATCTATACATGTGACCTTCCTTCACCTGAGTTGCAGATATCATATTAAAATTCTTGCACTCTTCTGAAGTGATTTTCATCATCTACTAGAATGACACTAATTTTAATCAGAGTAGTAACTCACTGATTTCTGAGATTGCTGATACAAAATCCTAACACAGTTGTTTCAGTTCGTTTATTTGTCCCCAGCAGAGTTCATGGTCTTGGCCTGATTATTTGGAAAGCAAGGTTTTCAGAAAGGCAAATATTTGTGAGTTAAAAGTACAGCTGACCATGCAGGGTGAACAATACTTTCAGTGTGGCTCTGAGCTCCCTGGAGTGTGTGATCACACAATTGTGTTTCCATACTGAGTCTTTCCTTCCTTCCAGAAAGATGTTGCCAAGTTCTCTGCAATTGGTAGAATATCTAAGAACAAGTTTAAAGAGCACACTGTTACTCTGCTCTTCTGCAGTTTTAACCTGTCTCGACAATTTTAGCTGCTGCATCTTGAGGTAAACACAGGAAAGAAATGGCTAATCAAAGCCAGTAAAATTCTCTAATTTTTGCTGTTAAAAAGAAGTGAAATGAATTCATTTATTAGTTAAGCCAATGAAAAGCAGGAATAACCTCAGAGGGGTCAATTGTTTTGTACAGAATTAAAACCTATGTAAGAAAGAATTTATTTATTTATTTATTTTTAATCTGATTGAATAAACTCCGCCGTGAATATTTAACATTAAAAGGAAGAAGAGCAAAGGGAAGATAAACTCCCTATTTTACTTCATCTCAAAGGTTCATTAAAAACCAAATTTCTTCCAGACTGACAGTACTATGTCTTTCTGGGTTCTAGAAGTAGGAGAGAAACTGTTTCCTGGGGTATTTCAAGCCTTCATGGAAACAGAAAGAATGGAGAGGGGAGAGAGTCTTAAGAGATCTACAGGTTGATTTTGCAAGCTCAAGAAGCCCAGATTTGAATCCAAATGGAAGTTAAAATAGCGGGCATGTCTATTAATCAGATACGAGTTCTAACCCTCTCGAGTGAGGCCACCAGGCCAATGTTCTTTGTTTTGAAGAACTGCACAATCCCAGGTTTGCACTCAGCTTCTTGTGAAGGAGATAAGGCTGCTTTTAAAATTTGTATTCGCATGCAGGTTTGTGTTTTGAACAGACTTAAATTTCAGAGAGTATTTGGACCAACTGTTTGGTTTTACATCTATATACTTGGCACATTCTAAAACCAAATGTAATTATTTCCAAGAAAGAAGAAAAGATTGAAATACAGATTTCAAAGAGCTTTATCTTGGTAAACAAAAAATCCCAGATTTCACTGTCTGTTTAACATAATCTTTTTTTCTGCTTCCAACAGATCTGTGTACCTTCACAACAACAAACTTTCAGATGCTGGGTTACCTGATAATATGTTCAATGGCTCTGATAATGTGGAGATACTCATCATGTCCAGCAATTTCTTGAAGTATGTTCCAAAGAACCTCCCTCCAGCACTGTATAAATTACACCTAAAGGTAACGACATCAAGGTGTTGTGTTCCTTTATGATTGTGACCAAGTACTGTGTTTGTATGGGAATCAGGCTTCACAGCCAGGCCATTTCAGTGCACTTGGAAACATTCCCAAGCCCGTTGTAAAGTCTTTACTGTATCCTCAGCAGTAGCTGTATCCCACGGCCTTACTTTTTTGTCCATAACTAACTGTGTTTTTGCAAAGCATCAGAAGGCTCACAGGGGACAAAAATGCTTTTCTGTGTGTTTCAGGGGGATGTATTGCAAGTGCCTGTGTGGTAGCATTGTTGGTCCTTTTCCTGCATATAATTATGTTAGTGCATATTAGTACAAGAAGGCAGATCATTCTCTGTGGCCATCCAGTGACTGGCTTCCCAGTGAAGTTTGTCACTGTTTTTCCTGACAGCTGCTTACCCACTCTGTGCTGGCTTTGCTCACTAGCTCATTTTACATGAACTACTGTTTCCTAGCATCAGTGAGTTTTGTTTGCTACTGAACTGGCAATTCAGGCAGCAGAGAGAAAGTTTGGATCAGTGATTCTTTGCTGCCTCAGCTTCTCCAGCAGTAGTACAATAGCAGAAGTTGTGCTATTAACTAGTCTCCAGCATTTTTAATTCCATGTCATCTGACTTTGATAAAAACACTTCATCATGTCTGTGCTAGAGATCTCAGCCCTGTTAACAATGGGAGAGCTGCACTGGTGGGGAATCCTCATTCCGCTTGTTCCTGGTGTTGACAGCTCCTTGGATGTGTGTAGACTGGAGTCTGTTATCAGCCCCTGGACTTAGGCAGTTCTGTGTTGCTTCCCAGCTTCATTTTCCCTTGAAGGTTTCACCACTAATTCCCGTTAAAGTCTTCTAGAAAGCAGCCTCCTCCAGCTTGAAGAAAAGGCAGATGGTCTGATCCTTTAAATTGCTGGAATTTCTTCGCAAAGCGTGGTTATCAGTTCCCTGCATTTTACTGTCATTTATAGGTGATCATTATCTCCCAAAGGGGTCTCAGACTTTGAGTACTACACCTTGAACTTGTATCCTTCCCTGCTGTCACCAGCTGTGTTAAGGGCAGAGGAGCTGAAGTGAGAAATGAGCATTTTGGTTTTAAGTGCTCTGCCTGTCAGTGGTGACATTTACTTTGTCATTTTGACCAGAAAAAAACCGTACAACAGGACAATGAGAAATGAGAAACAGCCAACAGTGGATCAAAAGAGTCCAAAAGGTGTATTTAGATGTGATAGATATTTTCTTGTCTTTCACTATTCATTGAGACACTCAGGCAAATCTGTCTGTGGTGGTATCCATTGTATGTTAGTTGACACATAAATCTTGTCCAGTCTGGTCATCACGTTATTGTGTGTCCGTGGATTGTAGGAAGTTTAACAAATGCAGTGTCGGTGTTTTATAAATCTTTTTGTAATTTCTACAGTTGTTGTATGGAATTTCTAAGTGGAATGTGGTTTTCTGTTTTGTTTATGTCTGCCTGCTAGCCACTGCAAAGTGACACTAAGGCAATAGGAGTAGTTGTTTCAGAACGTGCATTGCAGAAACTGTACCTTTTGGAAGGCCATTAATTCTGGAAGGAAGGCTGGCTCCCAGTTTCCAATCTAATTCTTCTTTATGGTGAAATCTGTCTTACATAATCCAGAAATTTTGAGTAAACTCCAGACAGAGTTGCTAAAATTACATTATACATTTACACATGGGTAGAAGGACTGCAGATACAAAATGAACCATCCAGGACGGGGAGGGGGTCTAAGTCTAACTCCTTAGCCCAAATATTCCATGGGGAATCAATAAATACAGGTTGTAATATTGCAGTTTAGTGTTTGCATTTATTTCTTAAGCAGAATGATAATGTCTCCTGAAATACTTTATGTCTAGCCCTTTTGAAGTTTAATTGCCTGGTGTTAGTTGAGCAGAACCTGGATATCCTATGTTGTCTAATGGCCAATAATGTGCTTTGTGCTTCTGGTGACTCTAGAACAACAAGCTAGAGAAGATTCCCAAAGGAGCCTTCAGTGAACTTACAGGTCTGCGGGAGCTGTATTTACAGAATAACTACTTGACTAATGAAGGAATGGACAATGAAACTTTCTGGTGAGACTGAGATCTGTAGCTTGCACCTCTGTTTGAGTCTGACTGTCTCTTCTTGTATGGTAGTATATCTACTCAAAAAGGTACACCTTAAAAAGTACATTTATTAAATGCTACATGATGTTGTGTGTTTCTGTGTTGAATCTATATAAAAAGACTCTGATTCAGATGCTGCCATTCAAAAGCAAAGTTCTGGTGAGTGGTTTGCATTCACACCACAAAGTACTTTTATACAGAAGGCAAAACACTGAGCATCAGGCTGCATCACTCCCTGATTGCCACAGACCAAATCACACAAGTACTAAATGCCTGCTGGGAAAAAGCCACCTACAATGACGTTGAAAACTGGTCTCAGTTCTTCCAAACCAGTCAAAAGTGAGGTTAGTTGGGGCTTCCTGTTTTCAAGGACAGCTCACTGCAAGTTAAGGCCAGAATAACATCTGTGCTAAAGCCTTTTCTCTGTTTGGGTGAAGGTGACTTGAACACAGCCACAGATACATGGTTGTGAATTCATCTGGCACACTATGTAGGAGGGGCTGCAGTGGTGCTGCTCAATAGCCAGATGGCTGCAAAAGCTTTGCTACAACCTGGTGTAACAGAAATAGCCTTTGGCTGTCCTAAATTTAGCCTGAGACTTAGCACTTCCAAGTGTTAACATTTGTGTCTCTGCTTACACTGTGAGTCCTACCCCCATTCAGTCTGAAAATCCAGATCACATCATCTATCCTGCCTGTAACTTAATTCTGCAAATTTTTCTGATCTCCAGACATGGTTTTGTATCAAAGTAGGATTTCCTTTTCCACATTCCAGTCCCAGGAGCCTCCCTTAGTAATTGACCATAGCTGTGCTGTGTCTGCCTCCAGGTCATGTTGGATGTATGAATTCTGTTAAGATTTTGATGAGCAAGGTGGCTCAGCTCAGGCACCAGTCATAGTCAGCAGATGGTGGTAGATGTTACTCCTTGCTCTGATGAGACTGTCTGTAGAGCACAGCATAGTGCTATTGAGGTGTAACCAAACTGGGGAAGCTTGCAGCAATGAAGTGATTTACCCAGACAGTGTGTTTGCTCATTCAGAGCATGCTTGGATAGCTGTGAATAGCAGTGTAGTAACCAGTAAGTAAGGTCTGTAATGCATTAGTTCTTGCATTTCCTGAGAACTTTATAGTCATCTGCAGTGGGTTATGTGGTGCCATGCAGAATAAAAGTCTCATTTGAATTGAGAAACAGACTTGAAATACAAGGCAATAGAAGGCTTCTCAGTCCTGGCATAGTATACCATTGATCCACATCCAGTTGGTATAAGTGGCTGGTCTGAGGATTTATTTTAGCTTCAATTGAGTCCATGGAATCCAGATTCAGTAGCTTACACAAAGCAGCTCTATCCCTGACTCACTTCCATAATGCTGGAGGGTCAGGAGAAGTTCACTACCTTAGCCTAGGACACTGAATTAGCATTTCTGCTTTCTATAAGAGCGATATTTCATCATCCAAAATCCAGGCCTTCTTTTCAGTTCTGATACACACATTCAGAGAGGCAAGAAGTACTTGTGCTCAGGCTACTTTTCTGTGAAATCAAGAGCTAAACTCTGTGTTCTGGTGGTGCTCCCATGGCATCTTTCTTGTGGTATTTGTTCACTGAAATTGCTCATACATGGCTACCATGGTGTGAAATGAGAGAACAGTGGACTGCAAAACTGATGTCAGGTCTCAGCCCTGTGGCAGTTTGGATGTCTGAGGACTCTAGCAGGTTCCCTGGCTAGTGTGGCAGGGAGCAATGGCAGCACCTAGTCCTAATCCCTAAGGGCAGTAATGGGAGCTGCTGGGGAGAAAGACTCTAAAACAAAGACTGTAAAATCTTCGGGGAAGATGGTTATTGTTTCACTTTGCAGATTCTAAATGGTGTGTTTTCTTTCCTGCTATCCCAAGGAAATTGTCTAGTCTTGAATATCTGGATTTGTCCAGCAATAACCTCTCACAAATCCCAAGTGGTTTACCTCGTAACATTGTCCTCCTCCACCTGGAGAAGAATGCAATTAAGGTGATTGGCAGAGATGTCTTGACCCAAATTAAGAACCTGGAGTACCTTCTGCTCCACAACAACAAATTAAAAGCCCGAGGTATTCACCCTTTAGCCTTCCATGGCTTAAAGAAGCTGCACACTGTCCACCTGTACAACAACATGCTGGAAAGGATTCCCAGTGGGCTGCCCCGGCGTGTGAAAACTCTCATGATCCTTCATAACCAGATATCGGAGATTAACAGGAATGACTTTGCTACCACTTACTTCCTTGAGGAGCTGAACCTGAGCTACAATAAGATCAAAAGTCCCCAGATCCATCGGGAGGCCTTCCGTAAACTGAGGCAACTGAAGTCCTTGGATCTGTCTGGAAACAATCTCCACACGATGCCCTTTGGCTTTCCGAAGAACTTGCAGGTTCTGAAGCTGAAGGAGAATGAGATAAGCATCATCCCCAAAGGGACTTTGTCTGGGATGACAAAATTGCGGGAACTGTACTTGAGCAACAATAAATTGAAAATAAATTCCATTTATTCAAGAGCATGGAGAGAACTTAGCAGCCTCCAGGTAGAAACATCACCTTCTCTGTTTGTTTTAGTAATGCTGATGTCCTTGTCTGTCTGCCTAAGCCAATGTGTATAGCACCAATTCCATGTGCACTTGGTCCTCATGTTTTGGGATTGCATTGTGCTACATCCTCTGTTTCTGGAGTACATATGATGTTCTCTGGTGCCAGAGCTGGGTACCTCCCACTGCTGACCAGGGTGGTGGTCCACCATGTCCTGGGAAATTTAAAGACATCTCTGTTTCTGAACCCTAATGGCGTCCTTTATTTTCAGATAAACATTAGTGAATGTTGTCATTAAAACTGAAATTATGCCTCTCAAATCAGCTCTGAAGAGAAACAGCAGGAGGAAGGAATGCATAAACAAAAACAGTCTTAATTCTCAAAGCCCCCACATCAGCTTAGAGTCAGACAGGCCAAGCTGTAGGATTTAGCAGCTCAGCTGGCTAAGGCACCTGGATAGCAGCTAGGAGGTCTGGATTCAATCAGCAGTCTTCTCATTTGCTTAATTGTTGGAGAAAGTTAAACACAAACCATAAGGCAGGCAGGAACAATCACACTTGTGCTGAGCAAAATGGCCTTTCAGGATTGTTACGTTGGCTGAAGATTTGTCTGCATTTCCTTTTAGGCAGCAGCCTCCTTACTGCAGTAAGAGGTGTTACCTGTGTCATCTGGCAACCATCCGTGGTGCATGGGGTTAGGTACAGGCAGTTTGTACATGGGTGCAGTTGGTTTAGGTGCACTGGAGTGTATTTGACATAGAATCATCACATAAGATCCTGACCATGCATGTATGTAGCACGTGCTTCAGTCCAGGCTGTTTCCATGGAAATCACAGGACACTGTCTGCAATTGCAAAGCTAGACATTTATATAATTGTTTGCCAGACTGGGATTATGTGGAGAAGTAACCCACTGGAAGCAGAACAATTGTTTGCAGAAGTGTAGCTCTGAATAATGTGAGACTAGTATTTCAGCTTGTTGCAGTGAAAATGCTACAATACAGGATAACAAAACACTTATTTTTATCCTTTTCCTTGTTTGAAATTAATCTGAGAAATTATCATGGCCTTTAGTCATCATATCTTCATACATTGATCCATCGTAGATACTTCCAGGTTGTTTTCATGTGTAACTCTTTAACAAATGTATCTGTGGCTAGTGAAGTGTTTGCAGGAGCAGCTTCCAAGGAATTCCTATGCATATCTGAAACCCAGACTGCTTTTAATTCTCTTAAAGCAGGTGTGGGCTAAAGCCTATGGAGAGAGATAAATATTTTGGACTCCTAAAAAATCCCGCATGATGTCTCGTGTGAAATCCTCATGCTAAATGGTAGTGTAGGAGACCAGAATTGTCATGGCTACACTTGCCTTGATGCAAATTAGAGGTAGATTAAATCAGTTAATGCTACAGTAAATATCACTTCAGTTTTTCCACCATAAGCTCAAACTGAACCTTTCTGCATGGCTGACAACTTACTATTTCCACTGGACACATCATGTTTGTAAATTTTTCTGACCTCACCAAAGGGAGAGAGGTTCAGAAGCAGACTCACAAAAGTGCCATCTGAAAACAGCCTGTTTCCAGGCTTTAAACATAAACAAATTTTTAAACACAACAAATACCAGATAAACTCTGCATAAACATCTTGCTTCTGCACTGTTAGCATACTAAGTTTTTTATAAGGGCATATATGTATTTTTTTAGTTTGTGTTTGGGGGGGTGGGCGGTTTATAAGCTTATGTATATATATATGTATATATATATATGTAAAGAAACAATGGATGAACTTCTAAAGAAGGGGTGTGCATGTGTAGAGCCAGCCTTTGGAAGCTCGTTTGTTGTCAAACTTAAATCTCTTTTTGGAGTGCTGATAATATTGAAATTCGATTATTTGTTTGACCCCTTGTTGTGTCTTCCTTACAGTCACTAGACATGGCTGGCAACCAGCTGACTGCTATCCCATCAGGCCTCCCAGAATCTCTAGAGTATCTGTATCTTCAGAACAACAAGATCACAACAATTTCAGAGGATGCTTTTGAATCCACACCCAAAATAAAGGGCATTTACCTCAGGTAAGGTCAAGTTTCTCCTTCAACACACACAAGGTTTTTTATTCTTCATCCTCTTTAAAATAGCTTAGTTTTTAGGTCCTAACTTTCTAAGTGAGTAACTTTGTTTTATGGTAATGTGTGATAAAACTGTGTTCATCTGCTCAGAGAAGACATGGACATACACAACAAGCGCTTTCTGTTCAGGGCGTTTGTCCTTTCTGTGCCTATTAAAATGGATTAGAGATGTCAGAAATTCTGGGAAGTTCTTGTTTAACATTGTCATTTTCCAATATTCAGCTATGAGCTAATAGTTTACAGTCCACTTGTAGGACTACAGCTTTGCTTGTGTCTATAGGCCCTGGATTTTGCAAAAAATGCCCCTCTTGTGAGGCATGTGTGACTAATCTTGCAGTTGTGCACGTTCCCCTGATGGCTTTGTCAGAAACAGATGACAAGTTACAACTGTGACAGTTATGAAGCTACATTTAGAAGCTTTTCTGGTTGGTTGGTTTTTTTTTCCTACTCTATCAGTTGGTTGAGGACTTTGTTTTTAAAGGTCACTGGTACTAACCTTTTTTACATGCAATGTAAACTCACAGTAATGTAACTGATTTAAGGAGAGATTTATACCACAAGAAATCAAGCAAGAATCTGGCCCGGTAATATGTTTAGTTTTTTCTGTTGGAACATGATTGAGAAGATTGCTTAGAAGTAATTTGTGAACCCCTACAGATTATTTGATTAAGCTAATCCAAAGGATGTGTTCAAAAAGCCTAGACTGCCTGCTGCACAAGACTAAATATGGCTTTATTTTGTCTGCATGCAACTAAACTGTTCTTGAGTTCTGCATAGTTCTGAATCATATCTTTTTGGATGAACTATTCCATACTAAGCAAATAAAATTACAAAGTCTGGTGTAAATTAGATCAGTCTGTCTATTCAGCTGCTCACATTTATGAGATTTTAGTGAATGCTTGGATACAAACCAGAAGCTACATACCACATTCTATATTTCTATATAAAGAGAAAAAAGGAATTTGCAAAATTGTTTTGCTAACATATTTAGAAGGCAACTTCACCCAATCTGTGTTGTATTTCTGAATGGGAGGCTATTAATCACTGCAATGTTGTGAAACAGTAATATACATCTGGAATATTAGACAGAATACAATTCTAAGTCTGTTCAAGAGTATCAGACCAAGCAGTATATGTGAGAGAACTGCAGATTAGTTTATTTAGATTATTGGAAACCCAAATAACAGGTGAGCAGCTATTGCATATTGCTATGTTTCTAAAGCAACACTTTGTACCAGTATTTTGAGTTTTGTGGGTGAAGAATGAAACTGTTAAGGATTGGCACAGATTCCATGAAAAAGCAGGTTATGCTTTGAAATATGCGGCTATGGAGCAGATGCCTTTACTCTCTGAGAAGGGGAAAGCAGGATTCCAAGAGAAAGAATTTGTGGGGGAGGAATTCCAATATTATGATCTTTTTCCTTGCAGAATACAGTTACAGAAGGGGGAAGAGGGGCTGGAGTGGAGAAAAGTAGGAGCTTGGTCAGTGACCTTAAGCTTAGAATGAGATACAGAATGTTTCCCAATATTTTCCTGCAAGGTCCTTAGCGATGACACAAAGTGCTGCCAGTAAACATTGTCCACTGCATTTGCCTGCTTGCTAATCAGTACTTGCTTTCCCTTTCTTTTTCCACCCAGAGGAGTCAGTATTCCTAGAATGTTGTTGAGGGTCAGTGTAAAGTTAATGCCTTGGATCGGTGTAAGGCAGAGTAACTGCAGAATGTTTTCCTCTAGTCTCATTTCTGTGTTGGATATCAAAATGGGTTCATTTTAACAGGAAGGCCTTTTTGTTTTGTTAAGGTTTAATAAGATTGCAGTTGGAGCACTGAAGGAAAGTACCTTCCAAAACCTAAAGCACTTGCAGGTTCTGGATATTGAAGGGAACCTTGAATTCAGCAGCAATTCGAAGAATAAGGATGACTCAGAAGAGGAAGTGGAAGATGAAGAGGAGGAAGAAGAACTGAGATAAATGTGAACTTGCACAGGCACATCATATGGGAGGTAACAACTGTAGTTTAGCAAAATCAAGGACTCTGTTCTCAGAGTCTTGTGTAAATAATTCCCATTTACAGGGGTGATTGAAACGTAACAAGTGGTTGTATGAGCCTTAGACTCAAAAACTTTGAATAAAACATGACTGGGAATTGCAGATTCAAAAAGGATTGAAAATACATTGTTTTGTAGAATGAAACAGTATTATATCAGGGCTTTATCATGGACAGTGGACAGTTCACAGTGGCTTCTGACAGGTAAACATGAAGGTCACTATTGACCAGTTCAGATAGCAAAAAAGGAAAAAGTGTGTCATCGTATTTTTAGGGAACTAGTTCAAAAGGAAAACAGAAAACAAACTGTGAAGCTTAGTGATGCAGAAGAACATGTGAGCTGAAAATGGATTAAAAAAAATGAGACGACGGAAAAAAAGGTAACAAGTGATTAATGTTTGAAGAACATGCATTTTTCCATTAGAAAAATAGGGATATGCTTAATACATCTTTTAAGCATTTTATGTTGAAAGATGATGTGGTTCAAGACACTGCTCTCTACTTTTGGAGATCTGAACTCAAAGACCTGGAAAAAAATGTTTAATTTTGTCCCTTATACACATTTTGTCATGGAGAATGACAGAAGGAATTACATGGAATAGTGATAATGTGATGAAAGATGATGGGCCTTGGAAAGGGCTGACACTACTTGGAAAGTCAAACATTAGACCTCCTGGTTGGGCTCTATGAAAGCTTTGTGAGGGAAGAAATGTATCTACAGACTTAGAGGACATGTAACTTCAATGCATCTCTTGTTTAGTTTGAGGCATCTGTGATATTTCAGTAGGTACTAAGTTTAGCATATTCCAAATTTTGTATTCCATCATGTAATTAATTTTGTTTTTCTGATGTTTTGCAGGATAGTGTATGGAAAACTACATATATGTCTATGTGTATATATCCATATAGATATACAGAGAGCACATAGCAAAATGTGCAACGAATTATGCAGAAGCTGTGGTGGCACTGGGCCAGGCTCATGGAAGACAGTGTGTTACAGTGCCTTATTCAGGGAGAGACCCTGAATGCCTTTCCAAAGCTTCCAAATCATCTTATACAAGACCCAGGATCATAAGGGATTGCTCTGGAACTCACAAAAGCTGGCTTTTGTTTCTTCTGTTTCTCTTCCTTCACTGTTTCCATCTGTAATAACAATATGGGACTGTTTTGAACACATGCCTTCGAATGCTGTTTTTGTCACTGCATTTTAAGTGAACCATGTATATGCTGCTTTTCTTTTCCTCCACCCCAAAGAAGCTGTTGTTGATCAGGCAAGATGGATATTTGCAGTAGTTTCATGTGTGGAGCAGTATGTGAGGCATTTTGGTGGTCAAGCAGCAGTAATAATTCTGGATGCAACTATTCCTCTGTTAAAACAATGTGTATATTTGGATGAGAAAAACAAAGTAAGGCTGGATCCCATAATATTTTATCTATACTGCCAAAGCTTGCAGTATATGCCTGTTTCAGAAAGATTTTAAGATAAAACAATTGCTCTTGTTGAATATATATATATAAAATTGTGTATGTCTGGCTTCCAGAGCTTTGGTAAAGTTTCTGTCTTTCTTTGGGGTGTTGTTTGCCCATGTGGCAGTTGTGTGGATGTCTCTGAAGGTATGTCCAGAAGATTGAGATACCTTATGGAGTTTAACATATATGCTAGAATAGTTCATGTTCCCCATTAAGAGTCAGAAGTGAGACTAATGAAGCAAAAGAAGGTTGGTGAGTTTGGGCTGTCTTAGGAGAAAACTGTTAAGCAGCAAGAGAAATGTCTTTGTTTAGTTCAAGCCTGGAGACACACTGCATGCTGTCATACTTTGCTAAAGCAGCACCTATTTCATGGTGCTGAGTTTTCTCACCTCCTGTTGGAAGCTAGGAAAAAAAGGAAACCAAGGAAAAGAAGAGCTATAGAGGTACACGGATGGCAAGCTGCCTATTTGATTATAATGTCCTTCATTTAAGGTAGCTAATCTGCTTGAGAAAATGGTCTTTTTGAGGATTTCTGATTGAACATGTGTTGTTTTGCATACTGCATTCCAGGATTTACTTGGAAACAGAGTTGGCTTAATATTTTACCAGCTGTTTGTTTTTCCTGCTGGAGAAGATCTAGTTCCACACTTTCCCTTGGGGTTCTCATAAGCACATGACAGTAATTTCAAGCTATTTCCTACCTTAGACAATTCAACACAATTATGAATCATAGAAGGAAAGTTTGTTTCCTAAAAAAAAAAAAAAAGCTTGGCCCTAAAAATTGCAAAATCCTACATTTTTTTACCATCAGCTATACAGCTGAGCAATAAAATAGCCTTCCAACTGACTAAATTTCTATGTAAAATGTTTACAGAATATAGCTCAAATCAGTTAGTTATCTCCAGCAAACCCCAGTGGAAGTTTTGCCAGTCCTTGGTAAAAGACCAATTGATTATACTCCTGAGCAAGCTGAGAATATGCAGATTTATACTGTTTCATGGAGAACTCTCTTAATTATTGTTAAATTTCAGTCCCTTACACTGTGATTCTGTGGGAGGTCTTATACTCCATACTCCCTTGAATCCCTTTAGATTTTGATGTGGTAAATGCAGAGGTGAAGGAACATATTAAATGCACCTTGTAGAATCAGGCCCAAAAATTCAGGATGATACATACATGGTTAAACTTCTTAAGTTAAGTGTCAGCCTTTACCCCTTCACAGTCAAAGGGAAATGTCCTGTAGATCAGTAGAGTTAGGAAACCCTTTTCTGAACTTGTTCCAAAATTGCACACTGTATCTGTCATTTAAAGGGGTCAATGTTTCCAACAAATGTCTCAACCTCCCTCAGGAGAAATCTCTTTGGATTGTCATGTAAGAGGTTGATGAGGCAGAAACAAGTAGAAACACAGGCTCAATTCCTTGCTTATCTGGTATCATCAGCACCCATGACATTGGATATAACACTGTCAAGCCAAAATGCTATGTTGTTTCATTCAAAGGAATAGAGGCTTCATGCTTGATGGTGAGGACGAGTCAGAAGTCCATGGGACAAAGCCACATATCTTTCTTCTCTGTGGGTGGCACCTGTAACCCCAAGGTCCAAGCCAGACCTTGGCTGGAGCAGGACCCAGAAACAGAGTCTAACTTTAATATTCCCTTTAGTGAAAATGAGAAGAGTTGGGAATTCAGCCCCTCAAGGTTGGGCCAGAAAGAGACAACATAACTTATTTTCTTGTCACCTTGTTCCTTTGAATTGCTTGGATTTGGGGAAGAGACTAATAGAAAGTTTTTAAGGCTGACAGATTTATGGAAAATGAAAATTTGAAGTTTAAAACACTCAGTTGGCAACTTTATTCCTAAATATGCAGTTGCACATACTTGTTACTCACGTGTGGTCTGTCTGCGAACTGAGGTACAAATTCACTTGCTGTTTTAAGGGCCATGTTTCCTCATTACAGAGGATACTGCACAAAACAGGGGAGAAAAGGCAATTTTTCTGAGTTTGGGTACGATTTTTCACAGCAACAGGGGTAGAAATGCCAACACGTGGGCTATGAAGTGCTCCAGCGGGTGCCGGAAACAGCCTCTGGATAATGAACTTACATTTCGGACAGTGGGTCTGTATCCGGGCTGTGTCTGCAGTGTGGGCGGGCTGTCCCTGATCCCCATTCCTTCAGGCTCCTTTCCCTCAGGGATTTTCCCTCCTGAGGATGTGGGTACCTGGATGTCCCCTCCTGAGGGTGTGGGTGCCTCGATGTCCCCTCCTGAGGGTGTGGGCGCCCGGCGGCCGCTCCTCCCTGCTCCCACCCCTGCACGTCCTCCCCTTGCTCCTGCCCTGTGCTGCTGCCTTCCAGGTAACCCTGGGGGTCCTCGTTTGAGGGCTTCTGGGAAATAAGGCCAAGGATAATTGTGTCTTCCCCAGAAATTTTACCTCCTCCCTGAGAGGTTATGGCCCCTTTTCCCTCCCTGGGTGCCAGGAGGGGCCGAAGGCCCCAGAGTGGGTCTGGGGAGCCTGTTTCTCTCTGCTCTCTGTGTTTGCTGGAGTGGAGGGATCCTCCTGCCCCAGAAATGCCCTACGAAGGAGCTAGTGCCGTCCTGCCTGAGGGGAGGGGAGGGAAGGGAGGGGAGGAGGCGAGGAGAGAGCAGGTGAGGCCCTGGCTGTGGCAGGAGGCCGCGGCCTTCCCTCTTCCAAGATGGTGCCCAGCCACCCTTCCCGCAGGGACAGCAGGACCTTCTGGGTGACCAGCAGTCCCCAGCCTCATCTGGCAGGAGGGGTGAGTTGTGGGACACACCAGCAGCCGTGGGAGGGAGGAAGGGTGAGGGGCTGGGGGGGCTGTGGAGCAAAGTGCTTCTGTGGTGCGGGGAGGGGGCTCCTGCGCTGCCCCGAGGGCCTCAACAACCAAACACTGCCGTGTTTGCTGGTTCAGTGTTATGTTTAATGAAAAAGAGGTGCTTTATGCAGTAAGTAGGGAGTCTTATAAGGAAAAATGAGTTAAGAAAGGGGAAAACAAACAGCAACTGTCCAAAGGAAAACTTCTGACCCAGTGGGGATGTGGTGGGGCAGGAAGAAGGCCGCAAAGTGTTCCTCTCAGTGAAATGCACTTCGAGTGAAATGAGCTTCCTCACAAACCACCAAGTGCAGGCTTCTGTCAAGGGTGCAGCATCCCTGCAGGGCTCCTGCTTCCTAGTTACCAACCGCCCTCCTCACAGCCATCTCTGGGTCAGACAGCCATGCTGGGGTGAAGTATTGTCTGAGCTTTGGGGATCTGGAGATTATTTTCATTAGTTGCCTGCCATAAATACTACAGGATTTTCCATTAAAGAGTCTGTTGGGGAAGGGATCCTCCAACTCCTGCAGGTGCTGAAGAGTCAGGCTGGCAGGCATCCTAAGGCATCTGTGGTGCAAACCCCCTCCTCCTCTGCTGCTTTGCAGAGGGATAGAGGGGACTTTTTCCTGAAAAGGCTGAAGATCTGCAGTAGCAGGAGTTAGCTGTGGTCAGGAGTGAGGCTATGGACCTGTATTAACAAAGGGGATGAGAATGGGAAGGGTGTTTCCAGAGACCCAGCTGCCATTTCTTCTACTTCTCTGTGGCCCATTGAGAGAGGGACACAGAAGGGGGCTGATCAAAGCTTCACAGTTCTTCTGTTTTGACAGTAGTTCCTGATGCTGAATAAGACTTTAGTTCACAATGCTATTTGTCACCATGTTGACTGAGTCCACGAATATTTTTACATATAGAGAGTTTTATATAATACGAATTTAGCCTTCTTTTAAAATGTATTTCCTTCTCTAATGGGAGTAATTTGTGGAGATCATTGTAATTGCTTTTTATGTTGCTAATATATGAACAGCAAGTAAAGTCCCTAAAGAACTCTGTTTCCTTTAGTGAGGAAAATATTGGTGTACCCTGTAGCTCTGATTCATGCTGCTATTGTAAAGTCAGCCAGCTGTGAGATATATGGAGGCAGTGATGATAAATGTGTTCTAATAATCCAGTATACAAAATGTTTCCATAAAAATTCTTCACTAGTATCCAAGGACGTTAAACAGTCCATCCATAAAGTCTTTTCTTTAAATGGTTTTGAATCAAACAAAGGCTGCTTTAATGCACATTTGTACAGGCTATCTCAAGTTTTCCCCAAAGTAGTTCCAGAATCTGTTTTTAGCATATGATTATGACACTGTCGAGAATGTTGCTTCTGATAAAAATTCAAATTGATTTGCAATATTCTTAGCTCCAGTTGCAGACAAGAGATTAATGAGTCTCATGCTTTTATTACTTAGCACATAATTGAATGTCTGTTGATAGTCATTGATGAAATTAGCTTTAATAACTTTACTTAGGGTATATATTTTCTACAGGATTGAAATTAACTTTGATTACTTATATAGCGCTCTAGATCCCTCCATTTCTTTGTGATGGACCTCTCTTTTGGGGTTGTCTAACTGAAATGCAGCAGTGAGATAAAACCCAAAACACTTCAATGTGCTGAAGGCACTAGAGTTGCTACACCATGAAGCATCATTATTATCCACAGCTTAAAAGATTTGGCACTGGAAAATTCAGTTTGGTTTTTCCTACCCCCTCTGTAAAGCAGGTAGGAAGAATCAAGGTGAATCTTCCAATGCCAAATGTGAACAACCAAAGTGTTTTTTCCAGGTTGTTCCCACCTGCTTTCAGAGAGGGAAGGAACAAAATGTCTGGGATGCAGATAATCTCAAATACCACTTGTGAAATTTACTCTGGAGACCTGTGGGTTGCCTGCACAGAGGGTACAGTGTGGAGCTGTGCATTAGTCCCATGCACAGCACCAGTGGGATAAGAACTGAGAATGAGCAGTCACCGTGGAAGCTCTCTCCATCAGAGAGCTTGGAGACTCCTTTCTGAACTTTCTGCTAGAGCTAGCTCCAGCCACAGTGCTGGACTGATACCTTCCTGTCCATTCTGATTCCTCCCTCCCCAGATACTTGGTCAGGAAGAGTTTTCTGTCAGAGAAATGCTTTCTTCTGTTAAAAAAACCCAGAAGATTCAATGATTTGTTCTAAGACAAAGATCACACATTTACTG